ATAAGGAAGCTTTGTGAACTCAGACTCGATCTGCCTCAGTGGATTCCATCTGTTGGTGGAGACAGAGATTAAGGACCATAACGATTTGGAATTTTCACTTTGGGAAGCATCCAAGGGAGTCATGGTATGCAATGGGAGGAAGCAAATGTCACTAAGCAGGGTGGAGGGTTCTGAAGATATTAAAATTTTGCTCTGTACTTAACATGAAAAGCCTTAAAGTCACAGAGTGCTGCAGCCAGGAGGGAGCTGAAAGAGGAAATATAATCAAATCCCTTTTTGCAGATGCATGCAACCGAGATGAAGTGACAGCTTGTATGCCTGAAGATGGGACCTCCAAATCCTGCCCTGATAACTGCTTCATTATATATCTGAAAACACATCTGCATCTATGGACAAAAGCAAAACAAGACAGTCACCATGACTGAATTCTGCTATGGCCAGGTAAATGGCCCACAGAGTGGAGGGGGATGCGTGATTTCAGTCCCCAAGCCCTCTTAGATAGGATGTCATTTCTGGACCGCAGCACCGCCTTCCTACCCTGAGAGTTCAGGCAATTCACAGCCTTCTGAGATGTGAAGCCAAACAGTCAGTTTTGCTGGCCTCCTGTCTGGAAAGTGCATGTATTCCAAATGTGATTGGTGTATTAGTAAACAATGTGAGTCTAGAAAAAATTATTCTTTGCCCAAGTGAGATCTCAGGGGCTAGGACCACTTGGTGAAACTGCCCTCAACTCAACAGAGCTAGCTAGTATATACAAAATGGGCACACATGCACACACACACACACACACACACACACACACACACACACACTTACCTGCTCTCTCAGTCCTCTATGTGTGTTACTTAAGTAATACCCAAAGCCAGGCATGGTGGCTCCCACCTGTAATTCTAGCACTTGGAAGACTGAGGCAGGAGAATTGTCAGGATTTACAGGACAGACTGAGTGAGTCTCTGTTTCAGAAAAAAGAAAAAAGCCACACTATCAAATCTTTTCTCCTGAGATCCTATAACCCCTTTCCCATTAAATCACAGCTGCAATCTGCCACAGACAATTTCAGGTGTTTTAAAGACAAGATACCCCACTTACAGCATTAGCTCTGAGCTTAACCTTTCAACATTTGTGAAACTGCTGTACCGCCGGGCAGCGGTGACACACTCAGGAGGCAGAGTCAGGAGGTTCTCTGAGTTCAAGGCCAGCATGGTCTACAGAGTGAGTGCCA